AGCAGTCCACAACAGTGGGAAGGAACCGAAAACCCCCACAGGGGAAAAAAAATCTCCGACAGAACCAGGCTCAGGGAGGGACGGCCATCTGCCTCAACCGGTTGGGTGGATGTAGGATGAATTATACAATGTAGTTTACAGTTAAACAAGTTATTAGAATTTATTGTCCTTTTGTAACAGGATATATGGCCACAATGAACAGAAATATGTTTGGAGGAGAGAAGGCGAGGCCCCAAACCCCAAGAACACCAAACCCACCATCAAGCATGGAGGTGGCAGCATCATACTCTGTGCATATTTTTGAGCCAGTGAAACTGGTGCTTTACATGAAATAAAAGGAATAATGAAGAAGGAGGATTGCCTCCACATTCTTCAGGAAAACCTAAAATCATCAGGCAGAAGGTTGGGTCTTGGATGCAGTTGAGTCTTTCAACAAGACAATGAGCCCAGACACAAATTATAAGTGGTGAAGAAATGGCCTGATCAGGCTACAATTTAGGTTTTAGACTGGTCTCACCAAAGTTCTGTTTAATTGTTTTAATGATACCATCCTAGAAAATGAAGTTAAAGGAGTAACTGGAAACTCAAGACTGACATGATGTACATGGTCTTCACAGGTGTCTGTAAACTTTTGCTTACGACTGTAGTTTTGGCATCACAAACCTGATCTCCTACTCTCTTTGTCATTGGCTATGAGCTGGCTTGTGACAAGTGTTACAGTGAAAGCTGTGGGGGAACTTTGGCCTTCTTTCTTCAACAGGTGGGAGGTGATGAAGAACATTAAAGTGCAGGCAGGGGCTCATAAAGTAATACAAAGGCTCCTAAAGTACTAAATGTTGGTGCTTTGAGTTTTAGGTGACATTGCAGATTCGTCCAAGATATTGCTGCACGAACTGTAAAACTGTCTATCCCATATTTCTTTAAACAGTTACTGTCAATGGATTGGTCGTCATACATTCTGAAGAAGGACAATGACATGGAAAGTCCCACCTGACAGGATCTATTTTGGTTTGTTGCAGAAGAAACCATATGGACTTTTACCAGGGTATAAAACTTTATTTTCACTGGAGGGGATCTTTAACGTCTTATAAAGAGACACAAGTTTTAAGAAGTAGGTGTGTACTTCCATACCCAACAAACTGTCTCCTTCAGGGCAATACTGATTTGATTTCTCTACTAGGTCTGAGATAACAGAATCTAGATGTTAAACTACTCATTCCACCACTTGTGCAGGAGTAGATTCATCTGAGCTGCTGGG